ACTGTGTCTCTAAAACAGAAAAAAAAAGAAAAAAAAAAGAAAGAAAGAAAACAAAAGGTTGAAGCCCACTGGCTTAGATAAACTGTGAAACTCTTCTAGGGTCTGTAATCTATGAATATTTACTGAGGCCCAGGGTCCATCTCCTTTAATGAAACACAACACTCTCTTGAATGCAGATAAACCACCCAGTATAAACACTGCTTTGTACGTGGGTAAGAGATGAAGCCAACAACTGTTTCTTGAGTATCTACAGGGCTACAACCCCAAATCTGAAATTCTGAAATTCAAGTAACTCTGAAAATCAAATGTCTTTTCTTGGTTGGCACCAAAACTCATTGTTGGCAAAACCTGACCCAAATTTCTCTTTTTTTCTGCAGAAGGACCCTCTATTGTCCCATGCCTGTGTTGGCTGCCTGGAGGCCTTGCTTGACTACCTGCATGCTCGGAGCCCAGACATCGGTAGAAGCTCTCCTCATTCTCTGATGTTCCCTCGGGGGAGGTTGAAGCCAGTCCCTGCCACCCTCCTATCCCAGGCTTCTATCCTATGTGTGATGAATATTCATTTTGTTTAATTCTTTTAACAATATTGCAAGGGTACTGTCATGTCCATTATATAGATGAGGGCACTGAGGTTCAGAGAGGTCAAAAGATATGCCCAACCAGGGTCACAATGTTCTTAAGTGGCAGAGCCCTTCCTACTGCCTGCCTCCCACAATCATGGGGTATATAGCTTCACTGAGCAAGTTGGCATAGTGGATAGAAGCCCAGGGAAGAAAGCAACCTTCTGGGGTCAGCTTGTCCAATGCACTGCCCCCAGCTGAGCAGCCCCTTTTTAAGCCAATAGGAGAAGGTCCTCTTTAGCAATGTTGCAAAGCCTTTGGAAAAGCAGCATTAATAAACTAGGGTGACTGACATTTCCTGCAGCACTCCATGTGGCCTCCCAGCCCTGGAATCGGTTTTTGCTGTTTACCCTCTTGGATGCTGGAGAGAATTCCTTCCTTAGACCAGAGATCTTGAGGCTTATGACCCTGGTAAGTGCAGAAAGGATAATCTTGTGCTCTGAACAATGTCATGAGCTGGGTGGTGCTAAAGAGGCCAGGGACACCTTACTTTAGGTAACCCTAATCCTCAAAGAAGGTAGAGGGGCTGAGTGGGCCTTCATCCTACAAGAGACCTGCTCAGAGGATTCCTCTAAATGCCCACATATCCTCACCTTAGGAGACCCTGACACCTTTTCTCTTATTTCTCTCATAAAATGTTGACCAAGGCCTACCCATTACATGCCAGATTTGCCAGGTCCTGAGGATGTCAATAAGCTAAATGCTCTGCCTTTAGGGTCCCTCAGTCTAAAGGAGATAGGCCGTAAATTAATAGTTAAAATATGATGTTAGGAGCAATAGAGGAGATGCTAACTGCCTGGCACATAGTAAGTGCCCACTGAATAAGCAGTGAGCCTATGAATGATAGTGAAGTGGATCAACAAATAAATCAGTGGTTGGTCAGGGATCACAGAAAAGAGGAATTGCTCTCAGCAGTAAAGGTAATATTTTAGCTAAGGCTTGAAGGATTAATAGGCAGGGAGGAGGAAAGGTATTCCAGGTAGTGTGGTGAGAACAGCAGGTACAAGGGCACATGGTGGTGTGTTAGGGGAACCATGCAGTTAATTTTGGCCATGAGTGTGCAGTGCAAGCAAGGCTGGGCAAGGGGGGATATAAAGCCAAATGAGTCAGTAGAGCCAACTCTCTGAGGGTCTCACAGTTTCCCTTATTAACCCACTTCCCCATGACACAACCCCACCTTTCCTACTAACTCTGAGCTCCTGGAAGGTAGGGTTCTGTGGGGTTTAGAACAGTGTTCCCAGAGCAGTGCTGAGCATAGTAGGGGCACAGGAGATGTCTACGAACGAAGGAGATGCCAAATTACTGGGTGTTTGGGGCTTCTCTTCCTGGGCCAGTTTGTACGGTACCAGAGCAGCAGCATCCTCTCTCATGAAGAGGTGGATCACGTTCTGCAAGGTGTGTCTTTGACTGACCTGTCTACCCTCTCAAACACCACACTCCAGGCTCTGCGCAGCTTCTTCCTACAGGTAGGTGGGAAGGGGATGCTATGCAGCCACTGTGAGGATAGACCCTCAAGACCATCTTCTCTGTGAAGGGTGGGAGCTCTGGCTACACTAGCCAGTGGGAGGTCGGGAGTGCAGGGGCTGGGAGGCAGTTAGAGAGGGCCTGGGTGGAGGAGGCACTGAGAAGGCCTACCTTCCCTGCCTTCTTCACCCCTCAGGTCCAGACCATGGGCCTCCTGGCTGACCACAGCATGGCCCAGACCCTGCAGGCCTCCTTGGAGGGCCTTTCCCTTAGTGTCTCCTTGGGCCAGCCACCCCTCCAGGACATGCTGTATCCTTTCTTGCATATGGGAGCCTTGGCCTGGGCAAGGTCACCCAGGTCATGGAAGGCTGTGGCATCATGCTTTAGGACAGAGAGGTGCACTGTCTACAGCCTTCTGAAGTAAGCAGAGGTCAGTAAGAAGAATTAACAGTGTTAGCAATGACTTTTTCTGTTTATTAAGTTCCTACAGAGGGCCAGGTACATTACATGCATTGTATTTAATCCTCAAAGCAGTTAGGAGTGTTAAGGTAGTTGTAGTACAGGTTGAACATCCCTAATCCAAAAAGCTCCAAAATTTGAGATTTTTTGAGCACTGGCATGACAAGTGGAAATTTCACACCTGACTTCATGTGATTGGTCATAGTCAAAACTTTGTTTCATGCACAGATTTTTAAAAAATATTGTATAAAATTACCTTCTGGCTATGTCTATAAGGGATATATGAACCAAATGAATTTCACATCTAGACTTGGGTCATAGCTCCAATATATCTCATTATGTATATGCAAATATTGCAAAATCTGAAATCTGAAACACCTCTGGTCCCAAGCATTTTGGATAAGGGATACTCAACTTATACCTAACTCCTAGGATTGTTGCAAGGGCTTAATGAATTAATATGTGTAAAGTGCTGAGACTAGCACCTGGCTAGGTGTGAGTGCTATATTAGTGTTTGTTATTATTCCTACTCTCTTTCCTAGATAAGGAAATTTAGACCAGAGAAGTTAAATGGCATGCCCAGGATCACACAGCTAGTGATAGCATCAGGATTTGACCCCAGATTTGCCTGTCTACAAAGTCACGTCACCAAATTCAGGAAGGAGCTAGTCCTTCCCCAAGAACTTTGGAGAAAGTTGCCCAAGCCCAGTTGGCACAAGTGTTCCTTAGCTCAACACGGGGTGTTCGTGAGGCTGCAGCAGTGTTCAGAGGCTCCCTTGGGGCCTGTTGTGGTGCTCCAGAGTCACAGCAGTCAAGAGGCTTGCATGCAGGATAGGTGCTTCCTCCCCATCCACAGGGGCTGCCTCCCTGGCTCTCCTCCTTGCCCCTTCTATGGGACAGTTCCCCATTGTATAGCAACTATCTAGCCCAGTTGTTCAGGTCCCAATTTAGAATTCATCCCACTATTGTTAGGAACACTTCTGAGCTTATCTGATCATTCTTGCCTTTTGGGGGCTCTGGAAGTGTGATTCCCCCAAGGTTGGCCCCACCTCTCTGCTGTTCTCCTTTCATATTTTGCTGCCAGCTGTCTGGGAGGGGTAGCTGTATCCCTGTCCCACATCAGAGACTGACCCTTAGAACTTGAAGGTCCAGAAAGGGAGAACTGAAACCTGGAGACAAGTTGGGAAATGGATGACAATTGAAGCCATTCATCTGGAGCCATTTACTCTCCATTGTTGAAATGCAATGAGTAAATAAAATGGAACACTCACATTGCCAGCGTGGGCTCTCCAAAAACATTTCACTCTGGATTCATCTTGTCTCCCTCGCGTTGGTTTCTCTGCCAGTTGGATAACAGATTGTTTTAGCAAGGGACTGACAGCCTCCTCAGAGAAGGAGAGGGGGGACGGCGTTTGTTCTGGCAGCACTGGAGGAGTGCCTGCTGGGTGCCTCAGTTGTACACCAGTCAGGCCGTCCAGGGGATTGAAGGGGCAAAGAAAGGGCCCGCGGCTGGGGCTGCTGTGATCCAAATGCTCTGGGAGGCACTTTTGCTGCCTCACCTCACGTCGAGGTGGAGAGGTATAGTTCCCAGGCAAGGAAGGTCAAATTCTTCTCAGCCCTTGCGGCCTCAGCCCTTCCCAGGCTACAGTAGGTCCCCTCTGTACCTTTCCCTCACCGCCCTCCTCAGCCTGCATTTAAATGCCCACGGGAGCAGTTCTTATTTAATGTCCGTCTCCGCTCGGCACCTGGAACGCATTCTGCGCTCCACCTCTGTGCCTGCTCAGTTCGGAGCTCAGCCCAGCCCGGGCCTCCAGCTCCCTTCCCGCCTGGCAGGGCCCCGTGCCCTGAACTGGACACGCCGCTCGCCTCCTCGGATCGGGCTGTCCTGACCCTGCGCAAAACTGGGGCTGAACTCGCTCCCAACGAACCGACGAACTTGGTTTCGAAGTTGGTAGATCGGAGGGGCGAGCAGGGGTGCCCGAACTCCGCACTGCAGGCTCTGCTGGGTCCTTAAGAAAAAAAGTGCTAGTCACTACTCACCTAACTGATCTTGCTAACTGAAGTTTTAAAAATACGGTCATGGATGACACAGTTCCGGGGAGGGCGCGTGGAAGGTGGCCGGGTCGGCCGGCAGGAGCGAGGGTCCCAGTGCGCTGGCGCGCCAGTGAAGTGGGGCGCAGACCCCGCCGGCAGGCTGAGCTTCCTCCAGCCCAACCTGCGTCGCGGGCCACGACCCCGGCACCCATGCGAGCCGCGGCGCAGAGCGAACGGGACCAGGTTCCGCCCACAGCTCCCGAGACACGCGCCAGGGCCCCGTGGGGCGGGGCCGGAAGTGAGGTGGCGAGCCCGGAGGTCGCGGCCCGCGCTCATTGGCCGGGAGCGCGCGGTGGGCGGGGCGGCGCTTGGCGGTCACTAGGCTGCCGCTCGCCCAGCGCTCCGGAGTTGGCTGCCTTTGCTGTTTGCCTGGTGGTCGACCCTCGAGCCGTGCTGCACGTCCAGAGCCTGCCCGTCCACACTTTCCCGCACCGCCGGACCAGGTAGGTGGTGGCGGAGGTGCCGGGCTGCAGGTCCCTCCTGGGAAGGGAGGTGCGGGGACCGAGGGTCTCCAGCCTGCTACAGGGTGGGAAGGGAGTTTCGTGGACGCGAACGCCTCTTTTTCCTTGAAAAAAGACTTGCTCCTTCCTGGAGCCCCGAAGGCTCGGGGCAACAACCTAGGCCCGCGACCCTGGGGAGCCGGCTTGGGGCCCGCCACCCCCGGTCACCTCTGCAGCGTAAGTTCAGAGTTTCATGCTGAGCCGGAAAGAGCTCTGGGGACGCTCAGGGCGGGAGCGGAATTGAGAGGCTGAAAGAGTGGGTGTAACAGTAGAGAAAACAGGGCCCACTCCCCACCCCAAAATCTGCTTTTTGGCTTTCATTTCCCACTTCTCCCCTGCTGCACTCATTGCTGGCTGTCTGATGCTCTCCTTTGTCTCCCAAGTTTTGCACTAGGTTCTGGTTCCCTTGAGTCTGGAGCAGGACGGTGGAAAGTAGGGGATCCTGGGCGAACTTGAACTACTCTTTCTCTAGGCTTCAGTTGTCTCATTTGTGGGAAGTGGAGCGTTTTCCAGATGACCTCTGTGTCCTGCCATTGTCTATAACTGAGCAACTCTCTACTGGGACATGTAGACATGTAGTAGATCAGGACCATCCCTGATCTGAGGTAGCCTGTGCACATTTAGAAAGAGACTGGGGGCCGGGCGCGGTGGCTCACGCATGTAATCCTAGAACTCTGGGAGGCCGAGGCATGAGGATCGCTTGAGCTCAGGAGTTTGAGACCAGTCTGAACAAAATTGAGACCATGTCTCTACTAAAAATAGAAAAGATTCTCTGGGTGTGGTGACGCAGGCCTGTAGTTCCAGTTGCAGGGGAGGCTGAGGCAGGAGGGTCCGTTGAGCCCAGGGGTGTGAGGTTGCAGTGAGCTATTATGAGGCTGCTGCACTCTAGCCAGGGCAACAGAGTAAGACACTGCCTTAAGAAAAGAAAAAAATAGAAGGAGACAGGAGACAGAGCACTGGACTTACAGCCAGACTGTTGGTTCAGCCTGGGAATAACTGTATGACTTTGGGCAGTCACCTCACTTTTCTGTGCCTTAGTTTCCACATTGTTAAAATTGAGCAGCTGTCATCTGAGTGTGGGGCCGCCTCTGACTACTTTATGTAATGTTGCATCTGACAGTCTCCTTCTCATCCTTCTGTGCTTGCATTACAAGTTTATTGATTATCTCTTAGTACCCTGAGTGCAGAGATTTTTGTTTGTCTTATTTATTGCTGTATTCTGACCTCTAGAACAGTACCTTGAACATGGTAGGCACTGTCAACTTAAATAACCAACAGAGAGGCAGACTCACTAAAAGAATATAACTTTTCTGGGGGAGTAGACATTGCAATGGGAATATGCATGCCATAGTAAGCTACATACATATTTGGGGAGGTAAAGGAAAACAAAGATTTTAAAAGGAAAAGTGAGGAGTATTACATAATTATTTTGAGATAGTTACACAGATCAATAACCAGGCTGGTACCAATCTAAGGTTGGACACGCAGTTGCTGGGCTTTGCAGAAGTTTTATTTATTTATTTAAGTGTAAGATTGCAGTGGCCTTTGTGCAGGGTTGTGGTTTTGCAGTTTTTGTGATAGTTCTTATCAGCCATTTGTGCATGAGAACCCTCCCTTCATAACCTTCCCTGGCTTTATTTATCAGGGTTTAACATAAGTGACTCTGTTTTGACTCTTGACAACTTTCACATTTTTCTCTTTCTCCCTTTTGGTCAATATCTTTCTCCAAAAGCATCACTAAGCAATCATCCTATAGTTAGATTTTTTTTTTTTCCGGCATATTATGGGGGTACAGATTTTAAGGTTTCAATAAATGCCCATTCCCTCCCTCCCCCCTATAGTTAGATTTTGATTGTCCCTCAGTACTGGGATAAACGTATGCTGGGTTGTTGGTCTGGTCCCATGTTGGAGGAAGTGATTGGTGACTAGGAGTCATTGTCAGAACTCATTTAGCCACATTTGAGCAACAAGGGAGGTTTGGAGTGAGTAGCTCTCAGGCTAAGTCTACCTCGAGTCTGTTAAGTTCAAGTTTCCTCTGTTCCATAGGCATTGGCTATCATCTCGAAGTGCTGAGTCAGCATTATTCTGTTAGGGGTTGTACTTCTGCAGCTATTTAACAAGTAACAGATGCAAAATTTTAAAAGGAAAATATGAAGTAAAATTAATAGTAATATGATAATCTCAGTTTGTATAATAGTTTTGAGCTATAAACCTAAGCTTAAAGGAAACCAGTTGAATAAATCAAGTGTCCATGAGGAATTAGGTGAGACCTGTTGTAACCCTGAGGTCTGTTTCCTTATTTTGTGTATGTGGGTCTCAACATTTTCAGAGGAACTTAATCAGGTATAGCATGTAGTAATAGCAATAGCACAGACATTTCCTTATTTAACCAATAAATGATAGAGAACAAATTTATCATCTGGTAGCCCATGACTGGGTTTTGAATTAAAGCAGAGAGTGAGCAAAAGTTGTATTAGGGATGTTGCCAAAGTCACGCAGTAGGTGGACTAAAGGATCTTTTTCTTAGGTCAGGTTCTGTCAAGTTTGCAGCAGAAGCTACTGATGGTGAAGTTTCAATTATACCATTATCCTGCCAGGTGAAGAAAGGCAGTGAGAGGGGTAAGAGTCTTATAATGATATGGAGTCTTGTTTTGACATCTTGGAAAAAACTGTCTACAGTGATAAGCCATCAACTTCTTATCCTGGTTTGCAGTTTGAATATCTCTGGTTGTGCAATTGGGAGGTTTGGTGAACTTTCTGTGTGACTCATACATTAGACTCAAGGCTTATCCCTCAAAATTAATCTAGCTTCAGCTTATAGGGCTTCAGGAACAGAGCAGTTCCCATTTTTATTTTATGGAATAAAGTTGGAGCAGAGAAGTCAAAAATAATTCAAGATCTACTCCAGTCTACAGATAGATAATAACTCAAAAACAATGCACAGACCTACAATCTAATAATAGGTGTATTAAAGCTTTTCTTTAGGAATGTAATATTTTCTCTTTACATTGATCACAGAGGAATATCAGATTTAAAAACCTCTTAAGGCTAGGAAGCAAAAGAAGGCAGACTTTAGATTTTACTTATAATCTTAAGGTTCCTGGATCTGCCAGGAAGTGACAATTTTTACTTACCGTAAGGCTGGGAATCCTTGAAGCCAGGCTTTCTATGCACATTCTCAAATACATATTCCAGTCAAAGCCACAATAATACAACCAATGTTGTTAGTTGTATCCTATCATAAAGAGAGAGCAGGCCAGGCAAGGTGGCTCACGCCTGTAATACTAGCACTCTGGGAGGCCGACCAGGGAGGATCGCTCAAGGTCAGGAGATCCAAACCAGCCTGAGTAAGAGCGAGACCCCGTCTCTACTAAAAATAGAAAGAAATAATTGGCCAACTAAAAATATATAGAAAAAATTAGCCAGACATGGTGACATGTGCCTGTAGTCCCAGCTACCCAGGAGGCTGAGGCAGTAGGATCTCTTGAGCCCAGGACTTTGAGGTTGCTATGAGCTAGGCTGAGGCCATGGCACTCTAGCCTGGGCAAAAGAGTGAGACCCTGTCTCAAAAAAGAGATTAAAAAAAAAAGTACAGAATCAAATTACACTAGAGGAAAACATTGCTTTTCTAGGCCTTCAGATGGAACATTTCAGTGCCAGGCTATAACGACAGAGTTAAAACCAGAGAAAAAAGTTATAGAAGCTGATGGAAAAATTAAAAGAATTATTGGCCAGGCGTGGTGGCTCACGCCTGTAATCCTAGCACTCTGGGAGGCCAAGGCGGGTCCCTTGAGTTCAGGAGTTCAAGACCAGCCTGAGCAAGAGCGAGACCCCTTCTCTACTAAAAAAATAGAAAGAAATTAGCTGGACAACTAAAATATATATATATATATATATATGTATATATATATGTATATATGTATATATGTATGTATATAATTAGTTGGGCATGGTGGTGCATGCCTGTAGTCCCAGCTATTTGGGAGGCTGAGGCAGAAGGATTGCTTGAGCCCAAAGTTTGAGGTTGCTGTGAGCTAGACTGACACCGCGGCACTCTAGCCCAGGCAACACAGTGAGACTCTATCTCAAAAAAAATAAAAATTATCATACGCCAGTCAAGCAAAAAACATGTACCTTCCCAAGGAGAGAAAGAGGAAGAGTAGAAGGCAATGATGTATTACCTTCAAATCAAGTGAACTTTCACAGTACCCAGTACATAATTGTGCAGCGTTGCCTGAATGGAACAGGTGTTGCATGTGGTGCCGTGGTTGCAAAGTGAGTGCGTAGCATTCCTCCTACCCCAAGACTGCCCTGCTTCCCTTCCCTTCAACCTTCTTCCTTTCTGATGACAGAAGTCAGGGAAGGAGGAAACCCCAGAAGTTTCACATCTGCTTTGTCTGCTTGGGCTTCCTTGACTGAATACCTTCCTGGGCGGCCAGGATAGGGTGTTCCCCTCCTTCCCCAGTCACAGTGCTTTACCCAGACCTCCCTCCTTGCAGCAGGGAGGTGACCTCCTTATCCTGGTTTTATAGGTGAGGAAGCTGAGGCTCAGAGAGACTGAGCAATTTGCCCAAGGTCCCACAGTCAGGGACAGGGGCAGGGTTTCAGCCCAAAGCTCTGAATGCTGACTCCTGTGCTCTAAGCATCCCTGTGTTGCAAACATTTATCTTCCTTCCTCCCTCCTACCCTCCTGTGCGTCTTTATTGTATGCCTGCTGGTCACATGCCCTGGGCTAGGGGCTGGAGCTGCAGGGCTTCCCAAAGCTGGGTTCTTGGTATTTGGAGACGGTGCCGTCCAGGGGAAGTTGCCGTTCACCTGCACTCTGCATTTCATGTCGCACCAACCTCTGGGTCTCATTCCTTTTCTTTGGGTTACTCCTCTAGCTCCAGCATCTTGGATATGGACCTTCTTCACTTCCTGGCCTTCCTCTTTGTCCTGCTGCTCTCTGGGACGGGAGCCACAGGCACACTGAGGACCTCCCTGGACCCAAGCCTGGAGATCTGTATCCTTTGGGGTTGGGGTTAATGAGCTTTCTCTGAGGAGGTCTATAAATGATGTCTGTCTATACCTAAAACCTCTTGAGGCAGAGGTCCCCAACCTATGGTGAGTTGTATAATTATTTCATTATATATTACAATGTAATAATAATAAAAATAAAGTGCACAATAAATGTAATGCACTTGAATCATCGCAAAACCATCTTTCCCCTCCCCGGTGCATGGAAAAATTGTCTTTCATGAAAACGGTCCCTGGTGCCTGGAGGGATTCGAGGGACAGGCAGGCCCAACTGGTGGGAAAGGGGGAAAAAAGGTGAGGTTTTCTAGTCAGACCTTGAACATGTCAATGCTCTCCCGAGCCTCAGTTTCCCCATATGTTAAATGGAGATGGCAGGGCACATCTCTATGGCTTCAAAAGCTTGGTGAGGACTGTACATGTGCCAGCACCTTGTGGCCAAGACCCTGGGCAGAGACTCAGGAATTCTGGATGACTGGCTCATCTCTACCTGTTGGACTGGGCCACCTTATCAGGCCTTGGGGATGCAAGAGGAGTCAGGACTAGTCCCTGGTTTTGAGTAGTCTACACGCCTGGGGGGAAAAGCCCAAATGATGGTTGTGCTCTGATGGACCCAGGAGGGCTCAGGGGAAACACTGTGCTGTGGATTTTGAACCAGGTCTTGAAAGAGTAGAAACTCCTAGAGTAGGTGAGGGACATACCAGGCAGAGGGTACAATGTGAACAGAGAGGTGGAGGTTCTGGAACAGTGAATGTTTGTGAGAGATGGCAGAAAACCACAGTGAAGGAAAGGCAGGAGCCAGGTTCTGGAGGTGTGGGATTCTGGAGGTGTGGGATTCTGTGTGAACTGGACGAATGATTCATTGCAGGGGCTGTATACTTCTCAGATAGTTTGGTCCTTTTCTGGGAGGTCTCAGCCATGGGCATCTATGGCCCTTGCAGATACTTGCTGATCAGGACCACTGGGTTGTCCAGGCAGGGCTATTTGTACCAGACCCCGCCCCCCCCTTTTTTTTTTTTTGAGACAGAGTCTCACTCTGTTGCCTGGGCTAGAGTGCCGTGGCATCACAGCAACCTCACAGCAACCTCAAACTCCTGGGCTCAAGTGATCCTTCTGCCTCAGCCTCCCAAGTAGCTGGGACTACGGGCATGCACCACCATGCCCGGCTAATTTTTTCTATATATTTTTAGTTGTCCAATTAATTTCTTTCTATTTTTAGTAGAGACGGGGTCTCGCTCTTGCTCAGGCTGGTTTTGAACTCCTGACCTTGAGCAATCCGCCCGCCTCGGCCTCCCAGAGTGCTAGGATTACAGGCATGAGCCACCACGCCCGGCCCCCCCTTTTTTTTTTTTGAGACAGAGTCTCACTCTGTTGCCTGGGCTAGAGTGCCGTGGCATCACAGCAACCTCACAGCAACCTCAAACTCCTGGGCTCAAGTGATCCTTCTGCCTCAGCCTCCCAAGTAGCTGGGACTACGGGCATGCACCACCATGCCCGGCTACTTTTTTCTATATATTTTTAGTTGTCCAATTAATTTCTTTCTATTTTTAGTAGAGACGGGGTCTCGCTCTTGCTCAGGCTGGTTTTGAACTCCTGACCTTGAGCAATCCGCCCGCCTCGGCCTCCCAGAGTGCTAGGATTACAGGCGTGAGCCACCGCACCTGGCCTGGTGCCAGCCCCTTAACTTAATGCTGTCCAGACAAGAAGATGTTTGAGGTGAAGCGGCGGGAGCAGCTGTTGGCACTGAAGAACCTGGTACAGCTGAATGATGTCCACCAGCAGTACAAGATTCTTGACGTCATGCTCAAGGGGCTCTTTAAGGTGTGTGCAGGCAGGGGGGCAGCTCACAGCAGTCCTGGTCCTTGATCTGGGCACTGATGGATGAGTAGGAGTTCCCTAAGGGGATTGGTGTTCAATGAGGGGGTTGCTGCATGCACAAAAGAGTTGAAGTGGGGTTTAAGTAAATGGGATGGGACCAGTCTATGATGGGCTCTGCAAAGCCACTCAGCCCAGGTGGGGTTCCCCCAGGTGCTGGAGGACTCCCGGACAGTGCTCATTGCTGCCAATGTGCTCCCAGATGGGCCCTTCCCCCAGGATGAGAAGCTGAAGGATGGTATGGTCTTCCACACCCCACCCTCTCCTCTCCACCACCCTTATCTTCTCTAGCTGCTCATTCTCCTGTTCTTGTCACTCTTTTTTCCTCCCTGGAAGTACCCTCTTGTGGCACCTTCCAGGTGGTCCCCTCAGATGGATGGGCATTTAGTCTGTGGTTCTCCAAACTTTTCTAGGCTTCAGATCCAGTTTCTGTGCCTCTGACACAGTTGTTCCCTTGTGCTGTCCTGTGCTTGGGGCAGGGGGACCAGGAGGACCCTCTGTGCACTACCACTCCAGAGGCCCGGACAGGGTCAGTTGGTCACCACCCCTGACCCTTCTGGTAGAGAAGGCAAGAGTTCTTCCCATGTAAAGAAAAAAACAAAACTGAGGCTTGTCAGAATGGTTGAGCCAGTGCGGCAGTTGCCAGCACTCTTTGCCACTTTTCTAATGTCTTAAGTCCTTTTTTAGACAAGGTGGGAATAACACATATAAATAAGGTGAAAGAATGTTTTGTGTCTCTCCATTCTCTTCCAAGAATCTCTCTTCAGGGGTGATAATCCTGCCCCCGTTACCTGGCTACATTTTAATATTAACAATTCTTAGATTACACTGTCTGAGAGAGGATGGCAGCATCCCTCATATATTGAATGGTGGACACTTTATACATATCTACTCTAATCTCCACGACAACTATGGGGAAGGCACTGTTTCCTCCATTTTCCAGATGAAAAAGGACAAGTGATTTGCCCTGATTCTTCCTTCTGAACCAAGCTGACTCCTGATTTCTTTGAGGTTCAAGATTATTCTGAAGCCCAGGGGTCCCTTCCTGACATGTCTCAGACCCAACCTGACATATCTCTGGAGTCTGCTTATCTCTCTGGGTGGCCTGGCCAGTGCTGGTGAGGGCTGGCTGGGCCTTCTGAAGGGCTGGCTCCAGCAGGGACCGCCTCTGGAGCTGTGTATACAGTTAGTGTGTACAGTTACGTCTTCATGTTAACCTGGGTCTGGGGCCCTTGCTACCATGATGGCCACATGATCCATGGTGAGCAGGTATTTGCAAACCTAACCCCAAAGGCTGAGGGAGCTTAGAGGCCAAAGAAAGAGGCTGACAAATCTAGTTTCTCAGAAAGAAATATTTAGTAGGGACTTACAAGCAGAAGCAGTATCTCAGGCAGCCGTGAAGCAGTGGATCTCCACACCCACTCTCCAGAAAATAATCCTTTATATAGCAGGCTTGTTTTGTTAAAACGTGTAGGTGGTCACATCTCAGACTTTCTTGTGAAGCGTGTGACCACTGGGGAGGTTAGATGAACATCTTTATGAGGCATTATCTATGTTATAAGCATTGCCTTGCTGCAGAATACCTTGTTATGCAGGGGTCAGACATTAGTCATCACGGCATTTTTGCTTCTTGATGGCGTCACTCTTGCTATGCAACAGGCTGCTTCCCTGCAACACGCTGACAAAACTCAGTCTACACTGACCTGCTGACCAGCAGAAACACATTAGTGGGAAAATTGAAGAAATTCCAATAAGATCTGTACATTAGTTAATAGTATGATACTGCTGTTAATTTCCCAGTTTGTTTGTATAAAATGATAACATTAGAGGAAGCCAAGTCAATGAATTTTGTGTTGTATTCTGTAGGTCTGAAATAATTTCAAAATAAGAACTTAAGAATTACTTAAAATGAAATAAAATGGAAAAAATATCAAAGAAAAACCCTGGCCTGGTTTTCTAACAGACCTGTTAGACCTGACCCCTCTCAGACACTCTGGCTGTGTTGAGCCCAGTCTGCACAGTTGGGTCCCAGGTCTAGGGAGTTCAGGAAAGGCTCATGGGGTGCATCAGCATCCGCGTGCAAAACAACACACAGCTCTCTGATCCCCCAGCAAAGGAAGCTAAGCAGCAAAATGTGCCTTTGGACAGGTGGACCTGGGTTTGCAGCTCAGAGTTGCCACTCACTAGAGTCTCAGTGCCCCATCTGTGAAATGGGAACAGCAGTCACATCTCCCTCTAAAAGTAGTTATGAGGATTCAGTGAGCTGGTAGACATAAGGCCCTTAGCTCACATTGCACATGTGATTGGCAGTCTGTGGTTAGTGGGTGCTGTTCCCTTCTCTGTTTTGTGGGTTTGGTGGGTGCTTCTATTCTCTGGAGGAGGTCAAGGGCAGGGCATCTGCCCTGGCCACTCATCAGGGTCCTCTCACCAGCTTTCTCCCACGTGGTGGAGAACACGGCCTTCTTTGGCGATGTGGTGCTGCGCTTCCCGAGGATTGTGCACCACTACTTTGACCACAACTCCAACTGGAACCTCCTCATCCGCTGGGGCATCAGCTTCTGCAACCAGACGGGCGTCTTCGACCAGGGACCCCACTCGCCCATCCTTAGCCTGGTAAGGACCAGGGCGTAGGAAGTCCGGGAGCCCTCTGTCTGGTGGTGGGCCAGGAGCCTCACATCTGCCTTCAGTTGGGCCTGAATGCCAGTGCTTGGTTGTGTTTTCTTTGTTGAGTTTCAGGGCACCATGGACCATAGAGGCCCCATTTCAAGGGGCTCTGTGCTGACCTGGGTCCCTTGGGGTCATCCCCTGGCCCACATCTGCCCAAGCCTAAGACCTGGGGTCCTGCATGGAGGGAGTGGCTCTCTGGGGAGCAGGAGGTGGGAGAAGGCAGGGGATGACCAGCTTTTCCTCATCTGCAGATGTCCCAGGAGCTGGGGATCAGTGAGAAAGATTCCGACTTCCAGAACCCATATAAAATAGACCGCACAGAGGTGAGTTGCCGGGGTCTATGCCTATGTCTGCTTTGTCTCTGCTGGGCCATAGGAGGCTGGAGGCCTTGGGTGGCTTTGGGCTTGGAGCCAGACATGCCTGGGTCTGGGTCCAGAAACCATCACTCACTCCCTGGAGCCTTTGGAACAAATCACTGCTTCTTGACTTAGCCTCAGGCTCCCTGTCTATACAAGGGGTATAGACCCCAGCAGTCACAAGGCTGTGAACACACCCATCCCAGCACAGAATAGGCACCCCACTTCATGGTAGTGTCAGGACAGCCAGGGGAGGTCCACTCTCTTCCCTGCCCTTGAGCATCTGAGCACCTTCTGGGCTTCTATCCTGCACTCTTGCATACACTCTCATTCTAAGGGGCTAAAGTGGGCTCTGAGGGCTAGAGGCTGCAGTTTGGGATGAAAGATGGGGACACATACAGTAGAGGGGGAAAGGGTCAGAGGTGGTGGGGCAGGAAGAAAGGGCTGCATGGTGGCTGGAGGTCTGGCCTTGTCAAATCACAGGCTGGCCCCTGGTGTGTGTGTGGGGGGGTGTTTGGTCTGTGAGGGGTCTAGGATTTTACAGTGCTTACAGGCCCTCAAGCCATCCTGCTACTGTTTCATAGACACTGACACAGGTCAGAGACATCAGACTTTATTACAACAAAAGTGGTAGCCGGACTGGTGGCCCACTTGTGTTGGTTTGCCTTGCTGCCCAAGTTCCACAGCAGCAACACAGAGGGGCCCAGGTGGATGCTGTGCGTGCAGTGGGTTTGTTTGCATCACAGCTGGAAACCGCTGAGCTTGGGACATTCACCATTTTTATAGTGAACAGAAGCAAACTTGCTCTTTGTTTGGGAGAAGACATTACCCAGCCTTCCAGGCGGCTTGCTCTGAACACAATCCTGAGATATGGCCCAGGTAAAGAGTGGGCTTTACCTTTTTGGTTTACCCAGCAAGAACATGCAGGGATGCTCAGGGCTGTGGCTGATTGCCTACCCTACTTGGTTTAACTCAAATTTTCACATGAATATGCTATTCAGTCTGGTTAATCTGACTACCAATCTGTTACCTGTTACCACCTACATAAGAAAGTTTAGATTGACCTGCCGATCTTTGATGTTATTGCCACTAATTACAGGGGTATAGATGGGCCCAAGCAACCCTCATCCCCCACAGGGAGAGATTCCATGGCCCATTCTCTCCCACGTGTTGCACTTGATTTGGGTCACCAAATTAACAATTTTTGACTGAGTCCTAGCTTAAGCCTTAGTTGCCCTACATGGCATAATCCAAGGCTACTGAGGCATCAAGAGAAGCTGATGAATTTATATCAGTCAGCTTGAAGCAAGTCATGCTGGCCAGTGTGCACAGGGTCGCTGTTGGCAACCACCTTTGACGTTGTTAGGCGCAGCAGAAAAGTTCACTGCTGGCACGTCCTTGTGAGTTTTCATATCATGTGGACTGGATCGACACACCCAGCAGCTGGCCACATTGACCGCCGCAGCTGCCACGAGGCTTAGGTAGACCACTAGGATTGTTTTGCCAAGTGGCAGTGATGGCTCTTAGGGCAAAGAGAACACTAATTGTTCCCCACACTTTCTGGGATCTAAGGCATTCCTGTCCAGGTGCCAGGATTATTGCTATAAAATCTGTGTGTTCCATCCCATCACCAATAATTTCACTTTTTCTCCAGTCATTTCCTGCTCTCACCTGGACCTTTCATTCAGAAGTGTGAGGTATGATTGGGAACAGGATATTTTTATGGATTTATAGAGACCTGTTATGTCTCCTGTCTTTGCCCACATGGGCCACTGCAAGGGGATCAGCAAGTAGTATATTCGACCAAGTGGTCGCAATCCTCATGATCTTGGGCCGTGCCACTCCACTCAGAGGCTCAGGTGGTGGAACCAGAAATAGTCCTCTACTCTGTGCCAGTCCTTGGTGGTGGGTGTGTTGCCATGTCTAGTGCAGTGATACACTTAGGTGGCTATATGTGCGATGATACACTAGGTGCAATGATACACTTAGGTGATGCGGATGGCATAGGCTTGATCAGCAATTTGATTCCAGTTGATCCCATCAGAGAATGAGCCTTATTACGGGCATCTAAATGAGTGACCTGGACTGTCTGGTTTGTAGCCACAATTTGTTTCTACTGTTTGTGGCCCCAAAGAGGGGTGAGTGTCTTGATCTGCCAGTTTGTAGTCTTCGGGTGGCTAGGACACCGACAACAGTGAGCAGGAGGAATATAACATGCCTGGTTGTTAGGAGTGTTGTGTAGGCAAGTGTGATGGTGTTTAATTCAGGTCATTATCTAACTGGCCTTTATGGCTGTTAGTCTTCCAGCATTGTCACTGGGGCTGGATGGCTGCTGCTGCCCATAGATACCCGTGTTCCCAAAACCACTGCCAGGCTTCATGTCTCACTAGGAGGATTCACAGGACTCAGTATACAGTCGCATTCATGGCTGTGATGTACTACAGAGAAAGGATACAAAGCAAAATCAGCCAAGGGAAAAGGTACAGAGGACAAAGTCTAGGGAAACCAGGCACAGCTTCTAGAGTCCTCTCCAGTAGAGTCACACAGTATGTGTTTAATTCTCCCAGGAACTAGTTGAGACAACATACGTAAAATGTTGTATACCAGCCAAGTTCTTTAGAGACCTAAAGCCCTGGATTTCACTGGGAGCTGGTCATGTGGGCACTTTCTACCTAACTTGTATCAGCATTGCAAACTCCCAGAATGAAAGCAGGTATTCAGCATAAACCATACTGTTTGCACAGTTAGGCACAGTGAACCACTCTTATCAGTTAGGGTGGTGGGAGCCCTCCTGAAATGCAAGTTCCAAGACACCAAGCTAAGGCTAGCCTTTGAAGCTGGCCTTTCAAAGGATAGTTGTCAGGCTGACTATGCTAACTCTTTTCTCTACAACACCATTACCTTTATTTATTTATTTAAATAAAATCTCTGTTTTGTTTTGTTTTTTTTTCCTTGTGCACATATCCTTGGTAACACCATTAGCTTTAACTTAGCTGAACTACAGTGGACCAGGCCTGAATATTTAGGGAAACTTCTGAATCAAGGGCCATATTGAGCCAGTGGCTTTCATTTATGTGGCTGAATGGGGGATATGGTTTTCCCCACTGGGGTAGCTGCTACCCCTTCATGCAGAACTGAGATGACACATCCTTCAAGCTTGCTTGCTGCAATCGTAACCCTGATAAATGACCCAGGTCAAGAACAGTTGGGGCCTTGCATTCTTGGTATACACAGCAAGAAAACATGGGGTACACTCAAGGCCATGGCAGGTTGCCTTTCCCAAGAAGGGGTCACCCACGGAGAAGGATTTTTTCCTATGATGCTGGCTGGCTCTTTTCACCCTGCAGGTCATGCATGCTTCACTTACACAGGAGGAGGGTGAGAACATGGGTGCCAGGACAACTTGAATCTAGTTTCATTATAATGTGCTCTACTTGGACATACCCATAGCAACAGTGTACTTCCTTTACTTCTCATTGGCTGGGGACAGTTCTGAGATTTAGTCACTTTTTTATATTCATTGTGGACCTGTCCAGTAGCAGCAGGCCCAGGTTTGTATGAGCTCCCCTCATACACTCTGTCCATGCCGGTGAGTGTTCTGGGAGTCCTCTCTTCTGTAGGAGCCATCACTAGAGCCAACTGGTAATTAGGCTGTGTCCTGGGGGCTGTCCCTGTCCCTGCTGTTCAGATGCTCACAGTCTGATGGGGGAGGCAGCAGGAAAATGCAGTCCCAATCCAGCATGGTCACTGTCCCAGTGGAGAGGGAAGCATAGTGAGTTGTGGGACCCCTGAGGGGGGAGCCTAGCCCAGCCTCAGCAGGCAGGCAGTGGAGGCTGTGGGATGAGTAAGTTGCTGGTGGACCAGCAGAAGGAGGGCCTTTCAGCAGAGGGACGAGGTTGTGCAAAGGCTGAGATGCATAGCACGTGAGTTCACTAAGCATTTAGTGAGCATCTGTTGAATCCCAGCCCCTGGGGAAGCAGTCTTGCCCTGCTCTCCTGGGAGTGGCATTCTAACTGAGGAAGACAGAGAATCAATTAAAAAACTTAATATGGTAGGTGGTAACATGGGCTGTGGAGAAAAAAAGCAGGAGAATGTGGTTAAGGAATGCCCAGTAAGGTGGGAGTAGAGTTGCTGTTTCACGTGGCTTGGGCATAGCCTTACTGAAGAGATCTGAAGGAAGTGAGCTAGCTGTGTATCCCAGGGAAGAACATTCCAGGCTGAAGGAGCAGCAAGTGCAAAGGCTCTGAACTGAGAGCAAATGGCAGAGGGTGAAGGGGGTGGTGAGAAGAAGAGGGCAGAGTTGTAGGCCAGATCCTGAGACCCTCAGAGGTCTTTGCAAGGGCTGTGGCGTTTGCTGAGAGAGACCGGGAGAGCAGGCTGAGGGGCTCTGGCTTAGCACTTTCAAAGGATCACCTGTATGCCATGAGGAACATGGTGGGGCCAGGGTGGAAGCAGGGCACAGGTGAGGACACTGCTGTGCTCGTCTGTTAGGGAGTCGATGGTGGCTTGAACCAGGGTGGCAACAGCAGAGCTGGTGAGTGATGGAGCCAGGATTCAAATGCAGGCGGTCTGCCTCCTGAGCCATGCTCTTGACCTCTGTGCTGTGTTGACCATCAGCATGATGACCTGGCCCAGGCCAGTCAGGTACTGTTGGGGATGGCCAGGGGAGACTTCTGGAGGAGACATCTAAGCTAGACTTGAGGGATGAATAGGTGTTGCCAGGCCTAGGTGGGGAAGGGAGCAGGGAAAGAAAGGGCATGTTTCTCTTCTGACCCAACTAGGTTTGGGCTGAACCTAGTTGGGGGAAGGCTGGAAGGGCTGAGATCTCTTGACCTGCCCTTCCCTAGCCAGAGTCAGAGAGTGGGGTCCTCTGTGGCCTGGGGCATCTCCCAGCTCCCCTTCTTCAGTGGATCAGGATTCAATCACAGAGACAGGAGCAGAGTGTGGTGGGGGAGGCACTGGGCAGGGAAGTGGGAGGCCTGGGGGCAGGGCTCCTAGTTGGGCCTAGTGCTGTGTGACTTACCCTCTGTGGGCCACACATCTGTGATTCCTCCTATCTTTTAGAGGCTTGACCCAGTCTAACCCGGCAGGTAGATTACTCCACAAGGTGGAGCTCTTGGTTTGTTTTTAATGGTTACCTTGGTCAAACATTTGTCATATTTGCCCTAAGAACAAAAGCATGTTTGTAACATAACAATCTGAGTTTTGGGCACAGTAAGTCCTCATTTAATGTTGTTCATAGGTTCTCGGAAACTGTGCCTTTAAGCGAAATAATGTGTAATAAAGCCAATTTTTTTGTAGGCTGGCTAATTGATGTAAGCAAGAGTTAAGTTCCTATAGCATATTTCTGGTCATAAAAACTTCTAAATAAGGCCAGGTGTGGTGGCTAATGCCTGTAATCCTAGCACTCTCAGAGGCTGAGGCGGGAGGATTGCTCAAGGTCAGGAGTTTGAAACCAGCCTGAGCAAGAGTGAGACCCCCTAGTAGTGAGTCTCTACTAAAAATAGCAACAAATTAATTGGCCAACTAATACATTGAGGCTGGGCGTGGTGGCTCACACCTGTAATCCTAGCACTCTGGGAGGCCAAGGCGGGCGGATTGCTTGAGGTCAGGAGTTCGAAACCAGCCTGAGCAAAAGCAAGACCCCGTCTCTACTATAAATAGAAATAAATTAATTAGCCAACTAATATATATAGAAAAAAAAATTAGCCAGGCATGGTGGCACATGCCTGTAGTCCCAGCTACTTGGGAGGCTGAGGCAGGAGGATTGCTTGAGTCCAGGAGATTGAGGTTGCTGTGAGCTAGGCTGATGCCACGGCATTCATTCTAGCCTGGGCAACAAAGTGAAACTCTGTCTCAAAAAAATAAAAATAAATAAAAATAAAATACATTGAAAAAATTAGCTGGGCATAGTGACACATGCCTATAGTCCCAGCTACTCGGGAGGCTGAGGCAGGAGGATTGCTTGAGCCCAGGAGTCTGAGGTTGCTGTGAGCTAGGCTGACACCAGGGCACTGTAGCCGGGGCAACAGAGTGAGGCTCTGCCTCAAAACAAACAAACAACAACAAAAAAAACACTTCTAAATAAAGACAAACACTTATTAAACATTGAAATAAATGTGAAATATACATACACTTAAGAGAGATTAATAAAAGCAAATTAAGATAATTATTTACCAAATTATTCCAGTTCAGGGTCACGAGTGGCCAGAGCCTCTCCCAGTAGCTCAGAGCACAAGGTGGGAACCAGCCCTGGGCAGGACGCCATCCCATCACAGGGCACATTTACACAACACATGCACACGCACAGACACTCAGACTGGGACAGTGTAGATGTGCCAGTGTATCTATAAACACATCTTTGGGATGTGGGAGGAAACAAGAGCACCCAGAGAAAACCCATGCAGACAGGAGAACATGCAAACTCCCCACAGAGAGTGGCTGCAGCCAGGAATTGTTTTTTTTCCCTCATCAACATGATAGTGACACAACCTTGAATGAAATGATGTTGTTGGATCTGCTGTACTATATTTCATATTCTAACGTGGCTCACTCAGTCATTAAAAAAACATACTGGGTGCTCTTGAAAAGTCAGGTCGACTAAGCTGAGGGCTTGCGAGCAACACCTGATGACGATCCTCCTGTCACAGGTGCTGTCTTGGGGTGATCACAGCACTGAGAAGGAATTAGCGCAAAGTTGAGAGAGAGAGAGCACCCCACAGAGGAGGCCTGGCTGGGAGTCAGAACAGTGACGGCTGAGCTGTACCTAATGAGCGGCAGAGGGGCGGGGGCTGGAAAGTGCATTCTGGACCTAGGCCACAGCTGCGCAAAGGCCTGGCAGTGGGAGGAAACTGGGAATCCAAGAGCAGAAAGGTGGGGAGTGAGAGGCAGGAGCGGAGAGGTGGGTAGGGTGGGCCTGCAGATGCACTGGGTGGAACTTTGTCCTGAGAATCCTGGAGAACCATGGAAGGTTTGGATGTTGGAAGGTGACATGACCAGATTTGCGTTTTGAAAAGTTCTAACTGCAGTAAGGAGAATGGCTTGAGAGGGACCAAAGTGGATGTGGAGAGACCTTGGGGGGCTCCTAGAGTCATGCAGCAGAGAGGGAAGGTGGTGATGGGGGTAGAGACAGAGAGAAGTAGGCAGGTTGTGAGAGACTTAGGATTTGAAACGAGCCAGGCCTTGGTGTGGACTCGTGCGGAGGGAGAGGGCGTGCCAGCTGGGCTGGGGGCTCCTCCCTCTGCCCTTCTCGCCTAGACAGGAGAATGGGGCACTGCTGCTCATCAAAATGGAGACTCCGGAGAGTAACTGGGCTTTGGGGAGACAGAACCATGCCAAGTTTGGGGTGCATTTGGAACATCCTAAAGGAGGTGTCAGTTATTTAGATAGGGAGAGGCCAGTTTGAGGGGTAAGTGGCCACATAGGCTAACAAGCTGTGTAGGAGAGCAAAAGGCCTGGGACTGCAGCTGGAGAATGCCACCCCCACCCCCAGAGTTCTTACCCCTGCCACCCCTGCTCACCCTGTGTTCCTGTCTCTTTGTCCCACCTCTTGCTCAGGCCTGCCAATTTGACCTCTGATACACCTATGCCTGCCTGGGCTCCTCACAGAGACTGCAAATTGTTCACAAGTGGCAGCCCGCCTATTGTCTGTGACTCTTCCATATTGTCTGTGACTCTCTCTCGCTGGCCTCCCCCACAACTGCGCTAAAGGTTATGGCAGGTGGCATCCCTGGGGTCTATGATGGTCTCAGCCCCTCTCTCTACCCCCTCACCTTGGGGGAGTCTGGAGGACACTCAACCTGTAGGGGGCAGGCTGCAGCCCTGCAGGAGGCCGTGCTTGTGCTTCCTTATGGAGGACGAAGGGCTGCCTCCTTATTGTTTCTCAGATGCTCTGTGAAGAGTCACACCTCAGCATCTGTCCCTCTGCCTGGAATGCCTTTCTCTTCTCTTACCCTGTTTGCTTGGCAAACTCCTGCTTATCTTTCAAGACCCACTCAGCATTTTTCCCCAAGCCCATTTACTAGCCCCATGTGTGGAGGAAGGCCTGTGTCCAAGCAACCTTGCTGTCACCCCACCCCGCCAGCAGCCTAGCTCAGAGCAGACTCTTTGCTGCTGGCAGACTAAATCAGACCGTTCTTTTCTTCCCTTCAGTTCATTCCCAGTACCGACCCTTTCCAGAAGGCCCTGAGAGAAGAAGAGAAACGTCGGAAGAAAGAGGAGAAGCGGAAAGAGATCCGAAAAGGCCCGAGGATCTCAAGATCCCAGTCTGAGTTGTAGCCTTGGAGCAGCTCCGGGCTCAAGGGCACCAGGAGGAGGCCAGTTGGGAGGAAGAGGAGGAAGAGGAGGCGGCGGTGTGGCTGTGGTGCAGCAGCGTCAGCTGTGGTGGTGAGCACCAGCCACTTCCAGACATGGAGGCTGTTTGCTCAGCCCCCTGGAGCCAGGTCAGCTCCAGCTGAAGGGACTGAACCTGAGAGCTGGATTTCCTCCTAGGGGCCTTCCAGGACACTGTGCTGCAGACACGACCCTGCAGAGACTGCTGGGGGCGGTGGAGGGATCCTGGCCTGGACCTTCCTGGTGGATTAGGACCACTGGCCGTCTGGCTGTCACTCTTTGTGGGGAAGCAGCAGAACCAGGTTCTGAGCCATGGGTAAAAGTGCCACCCCTGCTGCTGGCCCCACTGTGTCACTCAGCTGCCCCGCACAGGTCCCAGTCCCTCTACAGAGACACAATAAAAGCCAGCAAACCCTTTGGACTGACCAAGGCTGGTGAGGGGACTGAGGGGCCAGGATCCCTTAGGGATGTAGAAACCAGTTTAGAGGCTGTTTCTGCCTCATCAGGAGAAGCCTTAGGCCCTAGCAGGGCAGAAAAACAGGGCTGGCTCAGGCCTCCTATTCCTACCTCAGCATTGTCCTTGACAAAGGATCAGTGTTGTGAAGGGACTTGGAAGTGTCCTGGGAGGGTGTTTAGCCCAAGAAGACCTTGGAGCAATGTGATCTCTGTCCTCAGGTATCTGGGGACAGTCATTGAGCAGGCACAGGAAAGAGTCAACTTGTCCTCTCTGGCAGTGCTAGAGGACACTCGACCTGTAGGTGGGGGCTGTAGGGGTTTGGGCTGCAGCCCTGCAGGAGGCTGCTTTATAATGGCTGGGCTGCTCTGAGCTGGAGTGGTCAGACAGTGAGCTTCCATCCCAGGAGGTGTGCAAGACTGATGGCCTCAGGGCATGGAAGCTACTGGGGAGTTAGCTCTGAGTGGGTGGTGTGGTTTCTGTGGCCCTGGGTGGGGGCAGCTGCCCTTCAGTCCTGCCCCTCCCAAGTAGAGGAGGGAGGGGGCTTCAGTGGGAATTCTAGCTCTGCCTCTTTGACCTTGCCTAGCCAGAGTCTGCCTCTTAAAGGAACAGACACACAACCATCCTAGATCCACAGAGCCCAGGCAATACCTGAGTCTTAGCCCATCAGACTAGTTGGCCCACCCCTTCCCTTCCCTTTCCTGTGCTGTGGCTTCATTGGCAAAATGAATTTGATAGTGTCTGAATCCCCTGCCCAGCCCTACCCTGTTTTTCTGAGGCTGGCTTCTCTATGGGGTCAGGGCAGCAAAGAGAAGCCTGGCTTTAGGGAGGTTTCATGGAAGGGCCCAGAATATCCTGCATCCCATCAGTTACTCAGAAGTCAAGGGACAAGAAGCAGCTGGAAGAGAGCTGGGAGGAGGGTTGGAGAAGTTTTCCCATCAGAACTGCCCACAAGCCACCTGGTCCCCTTCACTGTGCAGTGGAGTCTGGTCCCCTTCACTGGGCAGTGGAGGCAGGGGCAGGTGGCAGGAGTGACCTGACAAACCTGGGTTCCACCCCCAGCCCTCCCCACTGTCCCCCGCGCTGTGTGACCCCAGCCACATTTCTGTGAGGATCACATGAGATGGTGGACACTGGAGTTTGTGAACTAAAGGGCTGTACCACGGCAAACGGTCAGATTCACTGGATCAGCAGTTTAACCTGTCCTGGTGCCAGCGGCTGGAGCTGGGGGTCAGGACCAGCCCCCAGCCTCTTCCTGTCCTTCGTGTTGGAGAGGCATTTTTTGGTTGCTGACTCAGCAAGGGGGGGGGAGGTGATTAGCCTCCCCACTTAACTGGAGGAAAACTTTCTAAGAACCAGGCCTGCTTGGCAGTGGGCCTAGCTTTCTTGGGGTGGCAGGGAGGTTAAAGGATACCTCAGGACAGTGCAGAGTGGTTCCAGCTTTGGCTGGGTGTCCTACTGAATGACTTCAAGGGGCTTTGTCATTAGCAGGATTTTTATACTTTGAAGCAGAGCAATGAGGGAGGCAGCCTAGTGTGGTGGGAAGTCCTGGGCAATTTGGGACTAGCACAGGCTGTCTCTTGCTGGCAGTTGTCATCAGAACCAGGCACTTCCCCAGATGCTTGGGTCCCCCATCTCAGAATGCCCAGGTTGAAAGGATAAGTGCCTGTTTACAGGCAGAAGGTACCTGGAATTAAGTGACTTCTCAGTGATAGGTGCCCTTCTTTGATGGGTCTTCATTCATCCTGTAGATTTAATGAGTGCCCACTGTATGCAGAGCCACAGAGAGGGCCTAGTCTTTTCTGCCTTCTTGTCTGCCCCATCTGGTACCTCCTTCCTCCTGGACTCTTCCCGCTACACCTTCAGCTTCTCTCCATCTTAGTTGATCCTGTCCTTTCTACCTCAGATGGGCTCCCTTCAAAGAAATAGAACCACTCTGCTTGTCCCCTCTCACCTTCCCTTTGCTGCCACTATTGTTAGGGTCACTTGTTCTGGGAAGTCCCCCTTCTGAGCCTTACTGCAGGTAGGGCCTGCACCCGCTTCAGCTGCAAAGGTCCTAGGGCACTTGTGTGTCCAGCCTCCCCTGGCAGCTGGGATTCAGCCCCACCACCTGGACTTACCCACTCTGTATGGGAGTTGTGCTGGTGGCAGTAGTGGTCACAGGTACCCTGGGCAGCAGTGGAGTGGTAGTTCTAGAGGCTAGTCCAGAGACCAGTGCCAGGAATGCCCAGTGGTGGCAACAGTGATGTTTTCAGTGGATCTTAGACATTGTTCCTGTCTGCTGAGCTTCTATGCCTGATCTATGGCACCTTTGGAGACTCTGGGAGCTCCCCAATATCCTTTAAGGCAGCAGTCCCCAACCCTTTTGGCACCAGGGACCGGTTTCATGGATGACAATTTTTCCATGGGCAGGATTGCTGGGTAGGGGAGAGTCAGCTTGGGCAGTGATGGGGAGCTGCTATAAATACAGATGAAGCTTTGTTCTTGCCACCACTCACTTCATGCTGTGTGGTTCCTTCCCACCCAAGTTTCATGGAAGACAGTTTTTCCATTGACGTGGTGGTGGGAGCTCTGCAGCCAGGTCCCTAACAGGCTGGGTATCTGCAACCCAGGGGATAGGGGACCACAGCTTTAAGGCATAGTTTCCCAACAGTGCCACTGTTGACATTTGGGGCCAGATAATTCTTTGTTGAGTGTGTGAGGAGGGCTGTCCTGTGTGTGGTATGATATTTAGCAGCAACCCTGGCCTCTACCTGCTAGACACCAGGAGCAACCCCCCAGTTATGACAACCAAAAATGTTTCCAGACATTGCCAGATGTCCCCTGGGGGCAAAACCTCCCTAGTCCACAGCCTGTCTTCCTCCTCATCCCAACCCCACATCTTCCTCTGCCCTCCCCAGTCATTGTCCTCAGAGAGATGCTATTGACAACTCTTTCTTCTTGAGATGATCCAGTTTTGTCCTGATTCTTTGCCCTCAGTCTGAGCCTGCTCTATCTCTTCCTGGTTCCTCTTTCCTTATCTGTTCCTGTTCAAATGAAGTTGTTTTAGGGCTGTCTCTCTCTGCTCTTTTCTTGGGCAGCCATACCATCTAAGACCTCAAAGCTAAGGACACCTGCCCTGTCGCCATCTGGAAACTTTCATTGCCTGTTTCTGTTTATCCAAAACCAAACTTGTTATTACCCACCTTTTAATCCCACCTCTGTTTCAAACAGTGTGATACATGCTCTTGGTTAATCCAGCTGGAAGGCTTCCTGGAGGAAGTGATATCTGAACTGAGTCCTGAAAGACTGGGGGAAAAGGGAGAAGGGGACAGGCACTGTGAGCAAAAGCCTGACAGGACAGGTGTCAAGAGGAAGTAAGTGAAAATCATATGTAAAGGTCTCTCCTATGACCTGTAGGTACCCAATACATGGTAGATGTCTAAACATAATGGTCACCTAGTCCAATCTGTCCCTTTTCAGATGAAGTGCCCAGGTGCTAAGGAATGATTTTGTCAAAGGCCACTCCACCCCTCAGAGCCAGCCTCTGTCCTCCTAAGGGTGCCACCTGGAAGAGATGTTCAGTTAAGTGGAATCCGGGGCCAGAGGGAAAATATCAGTGTTTTGCTGAGGTTCAGGTCCAGCGTAGCTACCATTCTTCTACCATTTCTACTGAGCCTTTATTTGTGCCCCCTTAGGCCACTTGGCCATGTACCATGGCCTCTGGGCAGATTCAGTTGGGAACCGTGGGAACAGCTGCAGAGTGGGAAGTGCTTTGCCTGCCTTCCTGGCCTCTGGTGCTTATGGCAGCCCTCTGCAGGTTACTGAGGCTAGGGGGTGGGGGGGGCGGGCACTGAGCCAAAGTGAGTCCTGTGGGAGCTGTTGCTGCATCCTGCCATGCTAGGAGACAGTCACACACCAATATGAGGAGCCCTGTGAGAGCCACTGAAAGGCACAGCTGAAGATGGTACCTTCCAGCCCAGGGCTGGGTCCAAAACAGGGTTCGGTTTTCTGTTTCTTTCAGGGTGAGACTAGTGTAGTCTATACCAACTCTCTCCTATGTGTAAACAATGAAAAGAACATTCCTGTCTTGTTTTCCCAAAATGTAAAACGACTTCATTTCTCATTAGGTATTACATGTTCATTATAAAAAGTAATTTAAACAATATCGAAATGCCAAAAAGTAAAACTTACCCCAAATCCTACCACTCCCATAATCACAAGTGACAACCAGCTGTTGGGCCTTCCATCCTTTTCACCCTTCAGGTGAGCACATAGATCCTTGTTTTTTCAATTACAATAGCTACCTTGTACTGGCACTTAGTATATGCCAGAACTCATGCCAAGTGCTGCTGGCAGCAGCTCTTGCCTCAAGGCCTTTGTCCCTGTCATTTGTTCCATCAGCTATACCAGATGCAGTTCTTTCTTCATACATAATTTCAGGTTTCATCTTAAATGTCACTTCTTCAGAGTCTCCCTGACATCACAAGTCAGGTCCCTTATTAGTTTCACATCCATTACTTTTCCTTAATCATTTGTACCATCATCTCTTATTTATTTTTATGTTTAATGTCTGGTGGGTTTGGGGTGTTTTTTTTGCTAGACTGGAAGCTCTCAGAGGGCAGGATCTGTTTGCCTGCCACAGAGATGTTCAATAAATATTGTAAAATGAATGAAATGATCTCATTTAATCTTCACAACTATAAGGGATACTATTATATCCCCATTTTGGAGATGACTGAAGTGAGACTCAGAACATTTACTTGATCAGCCCTAGGTCACACAGCGAATTAAGGGATCCATGTGTCCAACTCCACACAGCCTGTGTGCTCTTAAGTCATGACCGCTAAGTAACAGCTGCTTCTCACAAACTGGCAGGAAACTTACTTTTTCTTTATATCAAGATAATTGTGAAAACCTTTTCTTGTCAATAAATATATATACTTATGTGCATGTTTTTGTTTTTTTGAGACAAGGTCTTGATCTGTGGCCCAGACTAGAATGTAGTGGCTGCAACCTCAAACTCCTTCCTAGGCTCAAGCAATTCTCCTGACTCAGCCTCCCAAGTATCTGGGACTACACGCAGGCACCACCACAGCCTGGCTCATTTTTCTATTTTTCATAGAGATGAAGTCTTGCTATGTTACTCAGACTAGTCTCAAACTCCTGACCTCAAGCAATCCTGCCTCAGCCTCCCAAAGTGCTGGGGTTACAGGCATAAAGCTATGCCACCCGACCTAAGTGCATAATTTATGATGATGTCGTGGTATTTTATCATACGGATGTAATTTATTCATTGCCTTATTGGGCCTCTCAGTTTTTCCTAGTTACAGAAGACCACTTTGCATATGCATACTTCAGCACTTCTTTCAGCGCTTGTAATTTTATTCCTTGGGATAAATTCCTAGAAGTTTGTACGTTTGTTTACAACGTGACCAGCTGCAAGATGGGGCAGGAGGTGCTGGAAGGAGTGGGAATCCGTGGGTGGCATTGCGTCAGAATTTCCCGCGGAATTTTTCAAAATACTCATGCACAGGCTCCACCTCAGGAGGCCGGCGGTGGGCGAGGGCACTGGCGCTGTTTTAAAGCTTCTGAGGTGCCACGGATTGAGCACCACTGGAGTAAGCGCGTGGCCGCGGCTGGTGCAAAGTCGCGGAAGTTGTAAAACGCTGACTGCCCTTGCACAACTCGCGGCCCCAGTCACGCCTCAGTTTCCTTTTGTGTAAGGGGGCTGGGCGGAGCGTGACTTAGATGACCTGGGCTCCTTCCTCCAGTCCCCCAGTGTTGGGGGGGCCGGGTTTGATTCCACCCGCTTTCTGTGGCGTGCCGGGCGGGGGAGGCAGCTGGGAAGATGACGTAATGCGCTCACAGCCCGAGCCGGAGGCGGCCGGCTGTCGCGGGTGGAGGGTGGCCTGTTAACCCTTCAGTCCCACGCCAGGGGACGGACTTGCTTGTGGAGCAGATCCAACGGAAAAGGGAGCGGCTGCCTTAATCAAGTATGAGAAGGTTGGGCAGAGGACCCGGCGGCTACTCTTCGCATTCGCTCTGAGACCGCGGGGGGAGGGGCCTCGCTATGCAAATCTGAGCTGCTGATCGATGACGCGCCATCACCCCACGCGCTGCTCCGCGCGCTGATTGGCTGAGACGAGCCTGGTCCCATTGACAACAAACAAGGGGGCGCGCGGCCTGGGGGCGGGGCCGCAAGGGCGAGGGCTGGGGTGGGGAATCCCGCCCCGCCCCTTCCGCGCGGCGCCGGGGCGCAGCGCAAACATGGCGGCGGCTGGCTCGGGCCGGTGAGGCGGTACCGGGCGGAGGCTGTCGGGTGTCATGGGCGGTGGCGGCAGCACCGCCCCCGCGTCTCCCTGAGCGGGACGGCAGGGGGGCCTCTGCGCTGGGCCGGGCGATGGACGAGAGCGGCGAGCTGGTCGGTATGGAGACCATGGAGACCCTCACCGAGCTGGGCGACGAGCTGACCCTGGGGGACATCGACGGTGAGTGGTGGGTGGGTGCGTGGGAGTACGGGGGGCGCGCGGGGAGGAAGGGGTTACGGCGGTGCGCGCGGGTGCGCGTGCGCCCACCCCCAGACAGCACCGGCTCGCGCGGGAAGAACCCCGCGCGCGTGGTCGCCCCGGTGGTCCCCGACCCTTCCGGCGCTGCGAGTGTGAGCCTGTCCCGGCCGCTCCGCGCCGGTCGGTGGGATCTGGGGCGCAGCGGGGCCGAAAGTGGGGAGAGAGTGGCGGGTCCCGAAGTGCGGGGAGCGGCCTGGGGAGAGCGCGCGCGGCCGCCGCCTCCCTCGCGCGCCCACACGCGCTACCCGTCGTCCCGCTCTCCTGCAGCCCGCGGCCGCGGGTCGCACCTGTCACTCCCTGCCCGGCCGCAGGAGCGGCTTTGGGATTCCCGGTACCCAGCCCCCAGTCTCTGCGGCCCCCACCCCTGGTCTTCCCGGGATTGACGGACAGCCCGATCGCCAGGCGCTCTGGGAAACTCTGGGCAGCTGCTGCAGAAGCAGGTTGCTGATGAACCGAGCGGTGGCGGCGGAGTGTGAACGCATCTCTCCAGGATGGAGACCTGGGCGCTCCTGCTGTCACACTGCAAAGGAAATTGAGCAGAAGGAATTTTGAGTTGTTGCCCCTCGGGTACAGGCTGGGGAGCGGGTGGCCTTTGTTCCAGCGGTCTTAACAGTGGAGTGGAAGAGCTGGTAGGAGCCCAGGGATCCTCTTAAAATGCTCTCATTTTGCGACCACGGGAACCAAGGGTTGGAGAGAGTCAGTGACTTTCCCAGGGTCACCCAGCTGGTTACAGATCCCAGTTCTCCTGGTTCCTGAGCCAGTATTGGTTTCTTTGCACCCCACCTTTGGGGGATGAAAAGTCCAGTGAATAAGCTAGTAATCTTAATAACTCTCAGTAGTTGAGATCTGATGTTCTAGGCCCCAAATAGTTTGTATTATTTCACTTATTCTTCACAACAATCCTGAGAGATAGATATTACCCCTATTTTAATATGGTAATTAAAGAAACTGAGGCCAGGAGATGTTGATTTGTTTCACCTTGGAGAGTCCAGAACCCATGCTCTTAAGCAGTAACTCAGATGGATTGTGCTTGTCACTTTACAAAATGCTTTCATGTCCAGGATCTCACTATAACCTAGCAGGCATGTATGATGGCTAAATTCCCATTGTGAAGATGAAGAAAGAGGTAGCAGAAGATTCTCTTCGGGGGGAAGAGATAAATGACAGCCACTAATTGAATAGGATCCATTTGCCATTTTCCCATTTTGCTTTTGTAATATTTCTCCCCTTGGTTTGTCTTTGCTTTGCATTTTGGTTATCGTGGCAGTATGGTAAGACCCTTAATTGAAGCCCCACTTCCAACTACAGACTCTTTGCTAAGTTCTTCTAAATACAGAGATGGGTTAACAAATGGGTAGGTGGTACAGGGGTTCTTGAAACATAACAAGGGCAGCTAATGTGTTAGAGAACTTCTGTGCCAGGCCCTATGTTAAGCACCCATACACATTGATGTTCTCAATCCCTGTAACAACCCTATCTGATAAAAAGGACTGTTACACTAATCATCTCCCTCTCACAGATGCTGAAACTGAGGGCCAGGGTGGTTCATTAACTTACCAAAGATTACGCAGCCGGTAAGACATGCTATATGTCCAAACTGCCTACTGGCAAGGGCACAAAACAAAATTCATGAGCATTTTACATTCCTATTCCATAATCGATTCCTTATTCTTAATTTGTAATGTGTTAAATCACTTAGTGATTAGTACTAACTTTATCCTCATTGCTAAATAAAATGTATACTCTGGAAACTACCACAGTGATTCAGTGTGTTCACAGGTCCCCATACCAGGTTAGGTCCCTGTGGAAGAGGATCCCATCTCTCTGCTCTTCCAGAAGACCTGGCTTATGATAGTACACAAGGCTGTTTCTCAAAATACAGTTCTAGGCCGGGCGAGGTGGCTCAAAAACAACTTTATATCATAGAATGAGCACACATTTCTATTTGGGATGATTTCTAAAGGATGTAATTGCAAAAATCGGACAAATACTAATTGGGAAGGAACAGAAGGTCTCTTCAAGAACCCAGATTGAGATGTGATTAAAAGGCTGTGAAGTTCCCTTCTCTCACTTACAGTTCAAGTGGCTATGATATTCCTTTTTCTGTGTCTTGTCTGGAGATATAACTGGGAGATCTGGAAAGGAAATTACAAAAGGCCCGTGAATCGATAGAGCAAAGAGGAAGAACTTGCCCTACCATATATTAAGATATGCCACAAAACCATAGAAATAAATTAGCGTGGTATCGGAATAAGAACAAAGATACGAGTAGAACAGAAACAGAGCTCTGGGAGGCTGAGGCGGGAGGATCACTCAAGGTCAGGAGTTCAAAACCAGCCTGAGCAAGAGCGAGTCCCCATCTCTACTAAAAATAGAAAGAAATTAATTGGCCAACTAAAAAATATATAGAAAAAAATTAGCCGGGCATGATAGCAAATGGCTGTAGTCCCAGCTACTTGGGAGGCTGAGGCTGGAGGATTGCTTGAGCCCAGGAGTTTGAGGTTGCTGTGAGCTAGGCTGACGCTACGGCACTCACTCTAGCCTGGGCAACAGAGTAAGACTCTAAAAAAAAAAAATACAATTATATACCACAGAAGGAAGTAGTGTGACTATTCTGTCACAAGAGACCTGGGGGCTGGGTTTGATGTTCAGCTGATCAACAGGTATTCAAGTGCTGGCTGTGGTTTCTGAGCTGTAAGGAACAATGAGGATAGGAAGGAGAGTTTTATAGCCTTGTGGAGCTTGACATGAATAACAAACTGTAATGCTAGTATAGAACAGCTCACAATTGTACAGGCAGTAAGTGAAAGGCAGCCGTGAGGGTAGCCTGGTAAAGTCTGACTTATCAGAAAGACCACACCAAGGAGGGAGCTCTTGACCTGGCCAGGCCTCAGAGGACAAGAAGGGTTAGGCAGGCTGAAGTTCAGTGATCTCCGCAGATACTTGATACTCACCCATCTGTTCCCTTTACTGAATGTTAGCTCCATGAGGGCAGGGACCTTTGTTTTGTTCATACTGAATTCTGTGCACATAGAACAGTGCCTGGCACAGTGAGGATGCCCACTAAATATCTGTGGAATGCCTGAATGAATCCAGTGATCTTAGGCTGGGCAGGATACTAAGTTGCACTGGATATGGTTTGGGGTTGGAATAGATCAAGGGTAGTCAGCTTAGATCAGGCATCCTCAAACTACAGCTGGCGGGCCACATGCGGGTGTTTTTGCCTGTTTGTTTTTGTACTTCAAAATAAGATATGTGCGGTGTGCACAGGAATTTGTTCATAGTTTTTTTTAAAACTATAGTCCGGCCCTCCAACAGTCTGAGGGACAGTGAACTGGCCCCCTGTTTAAAAAGTTTGAGGACCCCTGGCTTAGATTCTTCTAGGAGCCAGTCAGGTGAGGAAGGGGAGAGATAGTGAGTGTGAGGACGTTTAGTTTCTTTGTATGCGTATGGTGGGGATAAGGGGTACTTGAAACCTAGAGAGTTCATGCCTGCCTCCAGGAGGGGCGGGCAGGCAGGAAGCCTTGGTTGCACAAAGTCTACTCTGCTCTGGTCCATTGGTACCCTTAGTGGGTATGGGCTCAAGGAAGCCAGATCCATCTGATTCACTCCTTCAGCACATCTCTTGAGTGGCTTCTAAGTACCCTCATAATGGACAAAGTGCTGAGGACAACTTTGAACAAGACAGACAAGGTTTCCTCTCTCTCAGGAAGCTTAACTTCTGTTTTTCATTTGTTTGTTTGGTTTGGTTTGGTTTTTTGAGAGAATCTCACTCTGTTGCCCCGGCTAGAGTGCTATGGCGTCAGCCTAGCTCACAGCAACCTCAGACTCCTGGGCTCAAGCGATCCTTCTGCTTCAGCCTCCTAAGAAGCTGGGACTACAGGCATGCACCATCATGCCTGGCTAATTTTTTTTTTCTTTCTATTTTTGGTAGAGACGGAATCTCATTCTTGGTCAGGTTGGTCTTGAATTCCTGAGCTCAAAACAATCCACCTGTGTTGGCCTCCCAGAGTGCTAGGATGGAAGCTTAACTTCTTGATGGAGGAAATACAAGTTAAATAAAGTAAATGAACAACTTTGGTGGGGCACTGCAAAAAAAATAAAATTGAGCCATATTACAAAGAGTGACTGAGGTCACCTACTTTAGACTTGGTTGTCCAGGGAGGCCTTTTGGAAGAGGTATCATCAGCATCTCCTTTTCAAAAAATGGCCAAGTCTGGATTTTATGTGAAATCTCCAGATTTTTATATGTTGGCTCAATTTTTTAAAAAATATACTATAGGTTCCCAGGTGTTGCTAGTTGATCTCCAGGGCCTTGTTCTGCTGCAGAATGTTCTACTGTCCCAGGTCCCCAGGTCTCTTGTGATAGAATAGCTATACCACATCCTTTGTGTTGTATGTCTGTACTTTGAGAAAGAACTTCATGCGCTGTTATACACCAGGTCTTCTGGAAGGGCAGAGAGGTAGGATCCTCTTCCACTGGGATCAGGAAAGGCACAGTCATAGAGGTGAACTTTTTGCTGAACCCAAAAGGATGGGTGGCAGGAGCAACATGACAAGCATGTGGAAGGAGTTGCACCAAGCCTCCTCTAGAAATGAAAGATTACTAGAGATTTCTTGAAATACACAGTGTATAAGGAATCTGAGGGGTGAATTAGAGCCAAACTGTGCTCCAGACGTAAGATGTTTTGTGGAATGAGGAGAGGGGATTGTTGAAGATTTTCCTGTAAGGAGAGAACATATTAATCACGGGTTTTAAGAAAATTCAACTGTGGTGATAGGCAAGGAAGATTGGAGGCAGGGAGACCAATTAGGAAACTGCAGCCATCTGGGTGTGAGATGATGATACTTAAAAGGAACGGGCTGGGCGCTGTGGCTCACACATGTAATCCTAGCACTTTGGGAGGCTGAGGCTGGAGGATCGGTTGAGGCCAGGAGTTTGAGACCAGCCTGGGCAGTAGCTATATTTTCTCTACAAAAAATAGAACAATTAGTTGGATATGGTGGGATGTGCCTGTAGTCCAAGCTACTACATGCTGATGCAAGAGGATCACTTGAGACCAGGAGTTCAAGACTAGCCTGGGCAACCTAGCAAGACTCTGTCTCTAAAAATATAAAAATAAAAAGTTAGCTGGGCATAGTGATGCGTGCCAGAAGGCTGAAATAGGGGGATTGCTTGAGCAGAGGACTTGGAGGCTGCAGTGAGTTATGAGGACACCACTGCATACCAGCCTGGGCGACAGAGAACTCCATCTCTTTAAAAAAAGAAAAATCCTGGGCATGACAGGACTGGTCCTTAGTGAAGGCATGACTCTGAAGGCATGACTCTGAAGGCAGAACAGGGGCAGAATTCTAAGATCCCATTAAGGCTTTGAGCCTGGGGCACTGGGAGAGTTCAGAAGCCTGCAGGAAGGGCTAGTTTGGGGAGATAATGAAAATTTTTCTTTTCTTTCTTTCTTTTTTTTTTTGAGACAGAGTCTCACTCTGTTGGCCGGCCTAGAGTGCTGTGGCATCAGCCTAGCTCACAGCAACCTCAAACTCCTGGGCTCAAGCAATCCTTCTGCCTCAGCCTCCCGAGTAGCTGGGACTACAGGCATGTGCCACCATGCCCAGCTAATTTTTTTCTATATATTTTTAGTAGGCCAATTAATTTCTTTCTATTTATAGTAGAAACGGGGTCTCGCTCTTGCTCAGGCTGGTTTTGAACTCCTGACCTTGAGTGATCCTCCCACCTCGGCCTCTCAGAGTGCTAGGATTACAGGCATGAGCCATGGCACCTGGCCCTGAAAATTTTTCTTAAATGGGCTGAAACTGAGGTGCCTGGGTGTGATGTAGTAGGAAACGAGAGGCCAGATACTCAGAAGTTCAAAACCGATGGAGATTGAGTAGTCACTGTTGATGAGTTGAGGATAAAGATGAGAGAAGAGAACTGAGAGGTTTGAGGTGAGGAAAGTGTAATAAACTAAGAGGAAGTGAGCTTTTCAAGTAGTGGTCAGTAGCTGGGCGCGGTGGCTCACGCCTGTAATCCTAGCTCTCTGGGAGGCCGAGGCGGGCGGATTGCTCGAGGTCAGGAGTTCGAAATCAAGTAGTGGTCAGTGAATGATGGAGACAGGACAGCAAAGATGACAGAGCCATGAAAGTCATAGGATTTAGTAATTAAGTGATTGACCTTTAACAGAGCAGTCAGGTGAGGGGGTCGAAGGCTAGATAAACTGGGAAGGAGTCAGAAGTGAAGTGGGAGCTGGGCAAGTAGAGGCAGCTGTTCTGTTTGGAGGTTGAAGAATTTTTTCCATGAGCTAATCTGCTTTCTGTCTTTATGAGTTTGCCTATTCTGAACATTTCATAAATGTCATCAGACAACATGTGACTTCTTAGCAGTATGTTGTCCAGGTCCATGCATGTCACAGTGTAATGTTCTATTGTACAGCTACATCACATTTTGTTTATCCACCCAACAGTTGATGGACATGTGGGCTGTTTCCACTCTTTGGCTATTATGAATGAAGCAGCTGTGACCATTTGTGTACAAGCTTCTGTGTGGACATAGGTGTTCATTTCTCTTGGGTAGATCTTCTACGTTTTTTGCTGTTGTTTGTGTTTTCCAAGGGCTTATAACAGCTCCATTTATTCACTCGCTTGGTTTCTATGTTCCTATAACTAACTCAGCCCTAAATTAGTGTGGTGATCAGTTCTCTTTTTTCCTGGAGCCCTCCCTCTTTTTGCCCCATCTGATGGTGATTGTTTACCAAGGTCACTGGAGGTATGCTTCCCTCCTTGGGACAGCCCCTAACCATAACCCTGGGGTGACGGTGAAGCTCCTGTTTCCTAGTTCTTGGTTTTTTATTCCCTGGTTTTGATGGAGCACTATCTCTAGTAACTTCTTGAGAAAGAATACTTGGAGGTAAATTTTTGAGGCCTTACCTGTCTAAAAATACCTTTACTCTGACCTCACCCCAATTTCATAGCCTGGCTGAGTTTGGAACTTTCGGTTGAACATAGTTTTATATCATAATTTTGAAGGCAGTACCTGATCATCTTCTCATCTGATACCATTTTGAATCTTGATCCTTCGCGTGTGACCTGTTTTCTCTTCTGGAATATTTTAGGATCTTGCTGTTCTGGTGTTCCATGGTGTTCCAATCCTTGGTGTTCTGGATTCCATGACGATGTTCCTTGATATGACTGGGCTGTCAGTCACTGTCCCTACCTAGTGGGTCTCTGGAGAGCTGTGTCCGATACCTGCATTCATGCAGGCCTCCTGCTGGTAGCCCACTCTGTACCCACCCTGCAGAGCAGCTTTCAGTTCCTGAGCCTTTCCATGGCACTGTCTTGGACCTCTTCTGGCTTCCTTCTCCCTGCAAATACCCAGTTTCATCTTTGGCAAGGAACCCTGTCAGTACCTGGCACTGAATAGTACTCTGTGAAGGTGTGTCTGATGAGGAAAGGAAAGCACTTCCCGTTCAGTTTGGTTATTCACGTCATTGAGAAGGGTGGAGTGGCCAACCGGGTGAGCTAGGCATGAGCTCGGGGATGATTGTGGGCAGCACCACTGGGAGGTAGAGGTGAGGAGAAGGGATAGAAACTGACTTCACGTTTCTGCAGTGAGTGGTGCTTTAGAAAAACTGCTCAGTGAGGTGAAACACAGGTCTACTTTTTACTCTGTGTATACCTTTTTAAAGACATAGCTTTGTTGACACTTGAGTGTATATCACTGTCACTAATGTTTGGTTGAAAGCTTTTGTTGTCTAGAGCTTATTTAATTTCCATCCATTTTTAGCTCCTGGTCTCATCCAGTCACATATCCTGGGACCTACTTTATGGGGTTACTCAGACCACCAAACCAAAGTCCCCTTGGGTTTTTCCTCCTTCCTCTGTTTTTTTGGCCTCTCCCTTAACAAACATTCTCTGCATTCACACCCAGGCCTTTGGCCTAACGTTCTTGAGTGCTGCCTCCCTTTCATCGAACAATGGTTTTTTTGTTTTTTTTTTTGGAGATAGAGTCTCACCCTGTTGCCCAGGCTAGAGTGCCATGGTGTCAGCAACCTCCAACACCTCCAACTCCTGGGCTCAAGCGATCCTTCTGCCTCAGCCTCCCCAGTAGCTGGGACTACAGGCATGCGCCACCATGCCTGGCTAATTTTTTCTATGTATTTTTAGTTGTCCAGCCAATATCTTTCTAATTTTAGTCGAGACGGGGGTCTCGCTCTTGCTCAGGCTGGTCTCAAACTCCTGACCTCCTGCGATCCTCCCGCCTCATCCACCCAGAGTGCTAGGATTACAGGCCCCAGCCTCATGCCTTTTTTTTTTTTTTTTTTTTTTTTGAGACAGAGTCTCACTTTGTTGCCCAGGCTAGAGTGAGTACCGTGGCGTCAGCCTAGCTCACAGCAACCTCAAACTCCTGGGCTCAAGCGATCCTTCTGCCTCAGCCTCCCAAGTAGCTGGGACTACAGGCATGCACCTCCATGCCCGGCTAATTTTTTCTATATTTTTTTAGTTGGCCAATTAATTTCTTTCTATTTATAGTAGAGACGGGGTCTCACTCTTGCTCAGGCTGGTTTTGAACTCCTGAACTTGAGCAATCCTCCTGCCTTGGCCTCCCAGAGTACTAGGATTACAGGCGTGAGCCACTGCGCCCGTCCAGCATTTTTTAAAAAGTATATTTTTGCTTCTTTCTCAACTACATCTTTTCTCTCCTCAAATTTGTAATTGAAAAAGAAAATTCTTAAGCAACTATATTCAGTTAGAACTATCTGAATATCAAATTTGTTCATGTCCTTCTACATTGTTGTCTGAACTTTGTTGATGTACACAAACATCCTAACATTTTCACATACAGGTTGGTATACGTTGAAATAGTTGAGGTATGGTGGCCATATAATCTAATGTAATGAATCCATCCAGTAGGCAAACACTTACATACCCATGTACCTGTTGAACATTTTCATTGTTTGCAATTTTTCTTTAACATGAGCACTGTTGCTCTGAACACTTAGGAACCAGTCACTTTGGAGTTAGTTGATGAGTATTTTTCTTGGAGAGGAGTCTTCATGTAAAGAGAAGAAATTACCAGAAGTGGGATTGTTGGGTCAAAGTGAGGATGGTGCTCTCTCAGTCACAGATGTTGCAAGAATCCCGTGAGATAAAATATAAAAGGAAGGGGCAGGAACTAACATTCTCTTCTGGCTCTGCATGTATTTGTAGTTTTGTTAGATACTGCCAAACTGCTGTCCATAGTGGTGGTTCCACTTTATACCTTCACCAGTGTGTAGGAAAGGGCCTGTTTCCCCATAGCTTCTAGGCACAGTCCAGTTGGGACTCTTTATTCTGCCTATCTCTTTGCCATACTTTTGCCAGTGTAGAGCTCACACCACTCCCACCCCCAACGCTGCACATATGCAGACCCCTCTGCCCTGGCCTCTTGGCTCCTCA